AGCACGGTCGTGAAGAAGTGAGGATGAAGTGGAAACTGTAAGCTAAAAATAGAGGTGTCCTTGCCTTGCCCTTGTGGAGATCATGGTGGAAAATTGCCCCTTCACAACTGCTAGGAGACTCCCTCATGAGCCACACGAAGGGGAGAGGGTGAGAAATGGCCCTACTAGAAAATTTTGGAGCTGAGCCGATACCTGGCGAAGCGCAGCTAAATATGCTTGTCCTTAGTAAAAATAGGCGCAGAAAATTCAGGAGCTGTAGAATTGCCTCCCTCTACATATACCTCCAATTTGTGCACTGAGATTTTGGTGGCCAAGATTTTCCACTTCTGGCAAATGCTATTACTGCCAATTTCCCTGGTTACTGTCCCACCTCTGTCTGCTGCCTTCCCACTGCCCCTTTTTCCTTGCCCGCATCTTCTGCCCAAGGGTAGCAATGTTGTTGTGATTCACTGGGTTGTTGTGTTGATGTAGCTTTTTTCCAACATTCCAGAGCATGACAACACACAAAAAAGAAAAGGGTGGGAGGGGTTAGCTAGCTAGCTAGGAGGACTTGGCACCCATTAATGATCCCCACTATGTCATATTCTCCACTAGTACAAGAGCATTGCACCATGACTGCCATCATCTCCCAACTACAGACCCCCATTTGCAACCTCACTACCAGCTCAAAACCTCAAGCCCCTTATTTGGGTGACACTGATTCACTTCTCCTTCTCTCTTCGCTTCAATTACATGCTTATATTTGTACATACAAAATCATTATATGTTAACAAAAACTCAGACATGGACATACTTAAATCTCTCTCTCTCTCTCTCTCTCTCTCTCTGTGTGTGTGTGTGTGTGTGTGTATTGTGCCTCCATGAAACCCTAATTTTGTGATAATTTAGCATGTTAAGATTCATCAAATTGGGTGGTGCACACACCAAGGTCCCATTACTTGGGTTGATACATTACTCCATGCTTACATCAAGAATAACAAATGGATATATGGAAGTGGAGTGGAGTGAGCATGCATTTGTCAGGGCATAGTGGTGAAAGTTGCTGTTGCAACAAGGTGATGGATCATTGCAGGCAGTGACTTGTTCATGTGAAATGGGCTAGATCACCCTACAAAAGAGGATGTGGTTAATGAAGCATTTATTCATCCATCCAGGTTTGGCCAGGCATGGAAGTATAGCCAGCCACAGGTGCCCAGGTGGACCAAGGGACTGTGACCACATGTGAAGATGCATGGACAAGGGAAGGGTCAGTCCTCCATTTTCATTCACATGAGAATAAGGACAATGTGGGAAAAGAAGAAATGATAGAACACAGGATTCCAGCACATCACTGCATATCACCAAGTGGTGGTGTGGAAATTCAATCACAGAGTCACTTCCACATTGACAGACAAAAACACACACCCACATGTAGGGGAAAAGGGTCCATAGGCTTAATGAGACCAAATCCAATTCATTTAGGTTAGACCATGTCAATGGTATCCTTGGGGAGGATGGATCATCTTGGGTTAATAGGGAGAGTCAAAGGAGCAGAATGGGTTGGTGAGTGAACTCCACAAAAATCTTAGAAAGTAGAGCCAGTCACTTGTGCATTCTCTAAAAGAATGTAACCAAATACTGGGGGGGGGGGGGGGGTCAATGTATTGTGTTTAACTACCAGGGAACACTGAGGTTTTCTCATTCCAGCCTCCCAGCTTATCCTTTGATTTTTGTTCTCCACAGTCCTGATTTGAAGGTGTCAAAGAGGGAAAAAAACCATGGACAATGTAGACAACCACATAATTTCCTGAAACAGATTCTGCCAACCATTCTCTCCTACTTTGACAACTCCTGTATTGCACAATGACAATGCTCTCTATTTCTCTCTCTTCCTCTCACCCCATCATCAAAGCACTACTTGATCACTGCACCATTTCAGGGGGCCTGCGAGTGCCTTGATTTACATTTCAAAAGTAGAGCTTGACCTTCCCAGTCTGAATGGCTGATGGAGCATGCACACATATGCATGTCCACAATCATGCCACATCAGGGCCACCTCACCTGCACCCCCACAAAGTAAAATAAAAGTAGTTGTGAGGACTGAGACTGAACCATACTCTGTGGCCCTTTCCTTTTTCTTTTTCTTTGCCTTCCCTTCCAGCCGTTGACCTAAGGGAGTTGGACCATTGCTCCAGCCATCTGAGTGGTGTGGTGTGGTGCAGTGTGTAGAGGAGTTTTGCATTCCAGGAGGTGAAGAGAGGCCTGCAGTTTCTGAGTGGGCACCCTTAGTCCACCTTTGTGTGTTGAATTCCATAGGAGAGCCAGCTTCAGTCATGGCATGAACTAGTTCCTACCAATACCCAGAGCCTCCATGGTTGAATGTTCCATCCTGCCAGCATTCAAAGCTCTTTTTCTTTTTTCTCTCAGTGTCTGCATTCTCCTTTGCTTGTAACCCAACAAACAAAGGAAGAAGAAACAGCATCAAACCACAAATCCTTTGCATAGAATAAACAGAGTTTGCAAACCCGTTGAACACAATAGCCCATTCACCACTCCCCTGTCACCATATACTATCCTGTATTTGACTGTCAAAACATTGTACTGGTTTGAAAGATTAATGAAATGATAAAAATAACTAAATGGTATTTATGTCTATATATATGTTTACATATCCCATTTTGGGTGCCTTAATCCATAAGGATTGGATGGACCCACTTTCAGGCTTGTGCACTCCATAGAGTGGACAAAATGCTTGCTCCCATCTTTGCAAGCCATTGCCAAGCCCTAGTTTACCATAAAGTTATGGCAACCCTACAGAAGCTCTACAGTAGAATCATCCATCCTCTCACAGTAGAATTAAGTATAAATTTTATATTCTCTTTTTCTTTTGTCAGAGAAAGATGTAACTTGGGGAGTAACATTTGAAGGTGGTCAGTCCTCTGTGATTAGAAGAAATGAAAAGGAATGAGATGGATTAGTGTTGCAGAAAATGTGAGGGTTGTGAGGTGTGGCTGGAGTGTTAAGCAACACTGGAGATGGAATTGGCAGAGATGAAACATGGTTGGCATTGGCTTGCATTTCATACCACAAATTGGCATACTCCAGCAATCAACAAACATGTGGTCAGATTTGGCCCCTACTTTGTGTTGTAAAGGAAAAAGGAAAGAGAGCTTGGGTTAGGATATCAGCATGTGCCCCCCCCCCCCCCCCTGGGGTCAGAAAATTCCATTGCTTGGCTAGAAAGATGGAAAGAAAATAAAACATTCTCTGCTGCACTTGGCCCTTCTGCTAGCTTACCCCATTGCCCAAGCAAAGCAACACAAAAATAATGGTGTTGAAGATGAGAGACAATATCCTGAAAACTAAACAAGAAGAAAAAGAAGAAAGCTTGTGCAGTGGGTGAGACAATCTATTGTACTGAAAAAAGAAGAATACAAGTAGAATGGTGTATGGTTTTTAAACAATACAACTTGATGGAAGGTTGTTTTCCATATATGAATATTCTTACCATATATTTTTTTACTTTTGACAAAAGCATTATGTGACATTTGACTTTTTATAAACAGAATTACAGGTGCCAGAAATTACTAAATGGATAAAACATTTAAGACACATACATGATATTCATGTATTTGCAAAAAAACTGACACATCAATGTAATTTTAACATGCACTTAATTTGCATACATTTACAATAGTCAATTTTGTCAAAGTTGTAAATGATGTTGAAAAGATGATATGCAGTTTGAGAAATCTTCAAATCATTATATATATTCAAAATTATATACATACATACATGTAAATCAAGAAAATATGTGAGATTTATATTAGTAAATTCTATTTTTTTATCAAATAAAAATTATTTTTTAATGATTGTAGTCCTCAACTACAAAATTGGAAAATGAAAAAGAAGATTTAATCTTAATGAAAAATATAAGGACAAATGAAAGCATAAGAGATTGGAATAGCCATGATACCACTTGTGGAACCCACAATGGCAGGCAATGGGGGATTAAGATAACATGCTCATTGAGGAACAAGGGGCAGGGGCCCAAAGCTAGCTGCAAAGCTTTTTTTGTGTTTTGTAACATGACTTTGACATGTATCCCCACATTAATTTATTTTAAAAAAAATCTCTCATTAAACACTTTTTGATTTTAACTACCCCATCATTTCCCTTACTAAATCAACAACACATGTTCTACATGATTTTGCCCAAAAACCTTTAAGAACAATCCTCCACCCATGTCCAGTAACTTTGCCACCCTCAACTGTGCACCAACTCAAATGTATAAATAAGATCTACAAAAATGCAAGCACTACAGTTATTCAAAGAAAACAGTTACAGTCACACACGATGATGATCTGTTTTTAACTTCAAAAGAGGAAACAAAAAACGAGTAAAACACAACTCATAGAGTCTATGTTGTGGATATAACAATACTAACCACAGCCTGCACTGTTGGGAAGGGAGCGCATTTAAAGGGATGAACTGTGCACGTTTTATTAATAATAAATTAGTTAACCATTCAGGTAAATGGGGGTGGAAAGGTGGGTGCGGGAGCAGGCAGGCGAGTGAGTGAGTATGCATGGCCAGGAATAGTGATGACAGGGACAACATCAGCAACGCAGCTGGAGAGCTTGAAGCCGTGTGATGGCGGAATGTGGAACTACCCGGACTCTGGGCCTCGCCGTCAGGGAAGGGAGAGGGTTGGAAAACCCCCAGGGCACGAGTTGGGCCATTCGTGAGCCAGGCCGGTTGTCTACTCACGGTTTTACGGTGGTGGTGACCCATGCCCGGTGAGGAGTGAGTGAGTGATTTTTACGGCGAGCTATTATTCGCAGTCGCGCGTGTGTGGTGGCAGCGGCGGAGGGTGGGAGAAAAAACGGTGCTGCTGGTCGTGGAAGAGGACGGAGATGGAGAGAGGGCTGCTGGCGAGGTGAAGACGAGGCTTGTGGGTGAGTGAGCCGAGGGGAAGAAGAGGAAGCGGAAGAGGAAGGCGAGGAGCTAGCTGTGGGGGGTGGGACCTTAAGGGGCCAAGCTTAGGGGTGTGTTAGAGGGATCTCTCTTCCTTATATACTTCCCACGCCGCTGGGGATCCTCATTACTTGCACTTACTTCGTTTGTTCTCAACCCGCTCCTTCCAATCCCCCCCCGCCCACTCCCCCATCATCTTCACCCCGTCCCTTACAATACCACCGCTACTGCTATCACACTTGAATTCCTTGCAGCCAGCCAGCCGCCCCCACGCTTATCATCCAACGTCTTCCCACTTAGCCTTCCAACTGTTTGCCGCCACACCCCCCCCCCCCAACGCGCAGCCTTCGAATAACTCCCCCCCTTCCTCTGCTGCCTTTGTATATCTGCGCTTAGTGCCTGCTCTGTCTTGCTTGACTGCATGCTCTGCGAGTCAGCTCTGCTCTGGCCATTTCTCGCTCGGCATTTGGGTGTCTCTGCTAATCGTCTTCCGTTCTCTTGAGTCGCGAGAGCGTTAATTACGGTGGAGGGCGCTTTGTCGTTCGAGGCGTGACAACTTGGTGTTTATTTGGGACAGGAAGGTGAAAGGAAAGAAGGAGGTGGGATTAGGTGTTTGATTGCAAGGAAAGACCGGTTGGGTGGTCAGTTGTTGTGAGAGTTCACAAGTGATTGGGATTTCTGGTCGGTCTTCCTGAATAGGGTCGTGCCTTGTTTCTTTCTGCGAAGTAAGAGTCGGGTTGTCGCGAGCTTGTTGCGATCGTCTGCGTGGCGCTTACTCGGGGACAATATTTTTGCTCCCGTAGTTGGTTTTTGGGTTACTGTTATCTGGTTTGAGCTCTTCTTCCGTGACTCAGGAATCGGTTTAAACCTTCAATCCTGCTAAGGTGTCGTGTATCGTTCTTTCTCCAATATCTGCCAGTATTTGGACGCTTATTTTCCGCGTTTCCGATAATTCTTCGCCCAATACCATTAGAAGTTTTTCTTCTGCGCAGCTCAATGCTGCTGCTGTAGCGAGTCTATTCTTTCCCGTTAAACCTTGAGCTACTCTTGATTCCACGCTTGTTCTCCGGAGAAATTGGCATCTATTTCTTTCTGCTTGTTGGGGTCGCATTGTTCTTTACAGATTTAGTTGCTTCACGCTATCTGGTTCGCGCGCTTGTCCGTCAGGCCTGGCCTGTTGTTTGTAGCACAAGAAAGTCGCTCCCTATCGTTCTCTCTCCTCCCCCGTGTTATACCAGACAGCCCTGCTGGCGACCTCAAGCATTTCCGCGTTTGCCCCCGCCGCTGCTCTCAACCTCTCTGGTTCCACTCAGCCTTTAGAAAATTGATTCAGTAGCGGTCGAGCCGAGGCTGCGGCCTCGGCTGCTAGCCAGGAGCGTGCTGCGCCGTATTCTGCACCCATCTTCCCGAAGGAAAAAATGCCCCCCCTAGCAGACCCCATGCTTTTTGACCCTTCTTTCGAGCTCACCAGTTCTCTCTGTGTGAGGCCTTTTAAACCATGGTCTGTCCAGAGCTCTGCGCAGCTTTACCGTGTGGACGGATGGGGAGCCCCTTTCTTCAAGATTAACTCCCGTGGTAACATGGCTGTGCGACCTTACGGTGCCAAGACCGCCCCCAACGACGAGATCGATCTCATGGACACCGTTCACAAGATAGTCGCGAGCCAGGACAACATCACCATGCCTCTGATTATCAGGTTCCCGGACATTCTCAAGAACCGGATGGACACCTTACAAGCGGCCTTCGATAGAGGTATCACGCGTCAGAGGTACGCAGGACGCTTCCAGGGTGTTTTCCCAGTTAAGTGTAACCCTGATCGGTATCTAATTGAAGAGATCGTTTCTCACGGCCGCCGTATCAATTTCGGACTCGAAGCTGGTTCAAAGCCAGAGCTTCTAATGGTCATGGCTGCTATGTGCAACGCTAGTACTACTGCATTCTTGATATGTAATGGCTACAAGGATGCAGAGTACGTGAAAATGGCGCTGGCAGCTCGTAGTATTGGCCTCAACACTGTGATAGTTTTGGAGCAGTTGGAAGAGCTTGACATTGTTATCAAGATGAGTAAGCAGCTACAGATTCGGCCCGTCATTGGTGTTCGGGCGAAGCTGAGCACTAAACACGCAGGTCACTGGGGCGAAACCTCGGGTGAGAAGGGGAAATTTGGTCTGTCCACTTCTGAGATTGTACAGGTTGTGAAGCGGTTGCGGAAGGTTGACATGTCGGACTGCTTGCAGCTTCTGCACTTTCATATCGGCTCTCAGATCCCTTCACTCAGCATTGTAAGGGAGGGCGTTAGTGAGGCTGCTCACATCTTCTGTGAGCTGGCCCTCATGGGCGCCAACATGAAGGTTATCGACATTGGAGGAGGGCTAGGTGTGGACTATGACGGGACTCACTCCTCGTCTTCGGACATGTCCATCGGATACAATATGGAGGAGTATGCAGAAACAGTTGTTGAGGCAATAAAGGAAGCCACCATTCAGAAGAATGTTAGTCAGCCTACTCTGTGTTGCGAGAGTGGCCGTGCGCTCGTCTCGCACCACTCGGTTCTTGTGTTCGATGTCCTTTCGGCTCACAAGAATGGCGGGAGTGCCTGCGACCGAGGAGTCTCTTACAATATTGACGGTCTTCCTGAAGCTCTGGCATATTTAAGGGACGATCTTGTAAGGAGTGTTGATGATGGTGATCATGAATGCATTCTGACATGTGCGAAGAAGCTGAAGTATGAAAGTACCCGTCTGTTCAAACAGGGATTACTTGGCCTCGAGGCTCGTGCAGCCATTGATGAGTTGTTCGAAATTGTCTCCGTCTTCGTTGACCAGAAGGAAAGTGATGCTAACATGGACCAGAATGGTTGCGGTGATCGACCCGGAAGTCATAAGGCGAGCAGCGATTATTACACCACGTATCACATTAATTTGTCCATCTTCAAGTCCATTCCGGATAGTTGGGCCATTGGCCAGCTCTTCCCCATTGTTCCTCTTCATCGTTTGGAGGCTGAGCCGACTGAGAGAGTCATTCTCTCTGACCTTACATGCGACAGTGATGGAAAGGTCACGACTTTCATTGGGAATGACAAACCTGGTGCGGAGACAGCGAAGCATCTGCCTGTTCATGAGCTTGAAGGTGACAAACCCTATTACATGGGGATGTTTCTCGGAGGAGCATATCAGGAAGTGCTTGGAAGCTTGCACAATCTCTTCGGTAATCCACATGTCATTCATGTTGTGCCGTCGAAGAGCGCGGGTGGCTTCCGTATTTCCAAGTTTCTCCGAGGTCAGAATTTGGCGAATGTATTGTGCGCGATGAATCATGAGCCACACCTGATGTTTGAGAACCTCAAAGAACGAGTGGACGGTTATTTGGATGGAACGTATGAGAAGGAAATCACTGCAGAGACTTTGATGTCCAGCTTCACCTCTTACACATACCTTGCCCCAGAGAGGAGCTGTGCTTTTCAGCTCAACAAGAGTTTCTACCCTTAAGGCACTGGCACATTGTGTTTCATAGTATGCCTTTTTTGCAGAATGTTACGTTTCGCTGTCTAGTTATACAGATTCAGGCATGGGCTTTGCAGGCACTGTGGGGTTGACAGTATCCATGGTGTCTGGAGAACATTGTTTTCTTGCCCTCTTTTACAAACATTCATTTTACTCAAGACGCTGCAATTCACCAATTGCGAAGTTGTGTATTTTGTCCTTGCACAGTAACCTTTTTATTTTAAAAAACATTTCTCTCTTTTTCTTTCAAATGGAATTCAAAGCCGGTTGTGTCAATTCTCAATTTTCTTTCTTTTGTGCGTTGGTTTCTGAATTGACCAATTCCCTGTAGATGCTGTCTACAAACCTAATGGTATGGTTTTTCTGTATGGACGAGAAGAGCTGTTTACTAGCTGGTGTAAATGATTGATACTGACCTGATCTGCTTTGGCTGATCAATAAGTCTTGATGAATTTTTATTTGAACATTGCACAAACTTCTCCTAGTTGTATATTGGTTTCTGTATCGTTTCTTCTCTTCTGTTTAAGAAAGAATCGTCAAGCGAGGATAAACGTGTTGTCAATTGCAGTAAATATCAGGAAGTCAGTGGGATTCTTCAGAGGGTATATGTTGATATTCTCAAATCGAGGACACGTCCAGGTGTACCATTGACCTTGCTGGTCTTATCCCGATGGTTTGATCTTTAGCTTTGGTTCCCCTCTTCACTCTGCAAGAAATCAAGTCAATTAGATTTGGCCTGTCGTTACAATGTGAGTACGAGAGTCTTGTCTGTGGTTGCTAGGTTGTACCTCCATTGATCTTTTTTTGTAGATTAGTCGACGATGAATCACATTGTTGAAAGGGAATGTACCTGTCAATCTTTGCTTTAAAAATGTTAGCAGTGGGCTGTTGCTACTTTTGTTTCCTTTTCCAATTCTTTAGATGTTTGCTTTTCCAAGAGAGTGTTTTTAATGTGATAAATGCAGGTGTGTTTCCCCAGCAAACCATTACTTTGTGCCTCTGAGCTGGGTTGTGCTGGTTTTGAGGAACTAGCATTGGTTTGCAAAGGGGCTTAGGATATCATAGAAGTCTCTGAAAACACGTATAGAATCTCTGATTTGCTAAACCATGGTCAAGAACTGTGCAAGCTGTAATCGTGGATAGCTTGCCGTGACCTCAAATACGGTGGCCCCTTAGGTAGTTTCTATTTCCTTCACACCAATTTGTGAATCTTAGTTGGAAATGCTCGCAGTTGGAATCTTTAACTGAAAGGAAATAATCGTTGTCTACTCGATTAGACCAACTTTTTCAAGTACCTGGAACCAGTTGCAGAAGTTTTGATGGCTGCAACAAATTTTCAATGAGGTATGTTAAAATGTGCATCTTGCAAGTATAGTCATTCTGCAATTTCGTGTATTTCTACACAGAGTGTCTGCTGATTATTCTATTTTATCTGTGGCCTTAAGATAAATGTTAGATACTAATGAGAAAGTAGGTTGTTAAGTATGCCCTTTCACACATCGATTGAAATCCAGACACACTTTTCTTGTTTAGTAAATATTTATGCACAGGTTCCTCTGATATGTATCAGGATGAACTCTAATGAATGCATTTGTGAGATTGAACATGTTGCCAGGTTGAAAGGTAGGTTAAAAAGAATAAATAAATAAATAAAAACATAGTATACCCTAATAAACACAAGTACAGGTTGTTCATGTCAATCTTCAAGGAGTATGCAGTCATCCGTGTTAATTGTCATAGATTATGTTTGAAGGTGGTCAGTTAAACATTTGGGTATATGTCATTGTTTGTTGGAGGTGAATCCTATCTATTCAAAAGCACGTTGGAGAGATGTTGGAGACTCAGATCCTGCCCATTCAAAAGTAACTGTCTGGACGATAAGATCGGCATTGCTTTGAGTTGTTTTTTTCACAATAAGAAGAATAGTAATGAAATTGAGGATGATATTGTGGAGAAGTGCTTTAAACAGGGGAATATTAAATTGGCCCACAATAAGTAAAATACAAATAACCATTAACATTTCTATCATTCGGTATCCTCAAAAACTTCTAGTTTTACTACATCTCTCCTGAGGATTCTTCTTTCCAATTAACTTCTAACATCTCTCCAGTTTCCTTTTGATCTAATATAATTTTCTTATTGTTTGTTTCTAGCTTTGCAGCTGGTCTCTCACACTCAAATTCTTATCTCTTTCTTTAAATTATTCCATTACAACTCTTTTTAAGAGTTCTATTTTCTATCTATTTCATCTCCTTGCAAAATGTGCACATTATCAAGTGTAAAAGTTAGGAATTGGTAAAGGTGTGCAAAACCTCAAGTAGTGTGGGAGCAAAGTGGAGACATGTAGGTCAATTTAAGTGTTAAGTAGATAAATTTAATATTTCCTTTGTATATTTTTAAAATTTTAAGTATGATTTCAATAATTATATGAAGTTAGAAGAATGCAAATACTAAAAGTGATCAAAACTCAAGTGAAATATTGTACATACATATATCTTTATATGTTTTAATATATATATATATATATATATATATTTTAATAATTTCTTTTTTATTTATCTATTCCTAATCTCTCTTATACATATAAATATATATCAAAAAAGTCATATTTTTATAATGTTTTTTTTTTCTTCATCCTTCTTTATATAGGTTTTATGACATCTTATTTATTTTTTAGATTAAATTTGCATAGAAAAAAAATAAATACCATTTTTTTAAAAAAAATTCTTTGTTATAATCAATCATTTAATTGGATGTAGTTACAACTCATAATTATATTTATTAATATATTTATATAGATAAATAGAACTATGTAGAAATAAGTAGAAATAGATTAAATTATTGATATCTTCTTAAGAAGCTTTCTAGAAGCTATGTAGACTTTCCACATATTTATAAGTGATTAATAGGTTGAGAAGTTGGTCCACTTGTTGGCCACATGTTACTTATTTAGCCACATGTATTATAAGTTGGCCATGTAGCATACATATCAAAAATACACCCTACAAATTATATAAGTGACTTGTAAGTTAGATGTATGTCATATGACATACACGATATTGCTATTGTAGAGAAAGAATCTTGCTTTACAAAAACACTATGCCTCTAGTTTCTATTAATTATTCTATTGTCTCTTAAATATATTTAAAACATAATTCAATAAATTCCAAGTCATCTTTGAATCTTTTTGTCTTTGAATAAGTTGATAAATCATATATTGAAAAAATAAGAGAATAAATCCTTTTTTGAAAGCAATTATATTATTCTCCAAAGAAGGTTTTAACTTTCAAAAATTTAAAATTCTAAATCCTACCATGACTTTGAATCCTAAATCCTATTCAAGTCTTAAATCATAAATTCAAAATTTTAGTTCCAAATCTTAAATTCTAAATCTTAAATCCTAATTTTAAATTTTAAATTTTAAATTCTTAGTTTATTATCAACGATATAAATCTCAAAAAACTAAAAGATCAATATACTCTTGTGCCACTTAAAAAATGCTAAAAAATCACTCAAAGATGATATGATATTAAACTACAATGACTATTGCCAAAGATAAAAAGACTATAAAATTTTGAAATAAGTCTAGGGACTTAAAAGGCATCAAAAAGAGTAAAGAAGGCTTCAATTTTGCTTCTATATATACTCTCTAACTAGAAGCTACACAATAATATTCTAAAGAACTTTCAACGCATGTCCAATTTATAAGACACCTATCTTAACTTGCAAAGCAAGATTCTTATATATGTGACACATCATTAGCTTGTACTACAAGCTATTAACATGTTGTTAAAGACAAGAACATAATAAAGACAAATAAACAAGTGAGACTTCTTTCAAAGAAAGATGATAAAATGGAAATAACTTGATATGTATATTAAAAAAAAATTGGAATGGCTATTACCAAAAGACAAGAAAACTAGAGTCCCTTGAAACTAGACTGGAAGTAAGAAAGGATTTGACAAGAGTGAAGACGGCTTCACTCTTGTCTCTATAAATACTAGCTAACTAGGGGCTATGTAGAGACGTTGTATAGGACCTCCTATATGTCTTCACTTTATAGGATACATGCCTTGACTTATAAGGCAAGTTTTTTTGCGTGTGGGCTACATAGTTAGCTTGGTCTTCAAGCTAACAACATGTGAGGCACATGGCCAACTTATTGCCCACGTTTCTAATCCAAGAAGTCAATTAAAGACACCTATAAAGTCAAAACAACATCTATAAAGCTTCTAAGAAGCTTCCATACTAAATACTATAGAATTAACTTACTTTTACCTACTTTTACTTACTTCTACCTATTTATACATGTAATTATTGGCTTCTATGTGTATGTCCGTGACATTACCCCCCTTTCTGGGGATGAGTTCCACGAGGGGCGATAATCATATGTTGAAAAAATCTATGATGCGACAAGTTGTATTTGCCACATACTCTGATCTTTGTTCTCTTCGAAGATGATTGATAGGACCTTTCAACCATCAGTAGTGTCCTATACTAGGGCGGAAAGACCACCTAGTTATTTAATCATTCTTGAGGTCTTCATAACTTCTTTCGAATAAAACATTTGAAACACCATCAGGAGTTGTTCCTACCTCTAGTAAAATCACCAAACATTGGGAGTCCCTTTTAAGGTCGTGATATCAAATACATTATATTTTGCCATCTATTTGAGGAAGAACATGTCGTTCTTGAAGATCTTCATCTCGATTGCGTTATCTTGAAGGTTGAGACAATCGTAATATTTCATCTGGTAGGTTAGCAAATGAAGGCTTTTGAGTCAAATCCACTGGTTGTTGGTTCTCCATCTCCTCAGCATTACAACTACAAAGAAGCTATAAACAAGGATTAAAAGTAGAATGATATCTTGCCTAGATCTTGTTTCTTTTATAAAGAAGGTTTTCATCTTGATTTTGATGGATGTCGTCGATGAAAAGCCTCCACCGCCTTTGTTGCATTTACAAGATTCTTTACTGGCTCCTATGTGGGTTCACTAATATCATATCCAAGCCAATCGATAAGATATTTCAATTTATTTTGGTGCCACCTTGAATCTAAGACTTCTTCCACTTCAAACACTTCATTATTATCTACTTCTATAAGAGGAGGTGGAGCTTGTCTTTTTCTTGTTATGTCCACTATCTTATATAATTCAAGAAGAGATATGTAGAATACTGGATGGATTTTTATTGACTCCAGTGTCGTGTTGTAACACGAGTATACCGTGAAAATATAAAGAAAAGAGACTTTT